AAAAATTAAACTCACTGCCATCAACTGGATGCTGACAAACGGAGACTCTATAGGACAGGGTAGACTGTCCCGTAAATTTTCTGTCAACTCTTTTTTTTTTAAATCATTGTATTAGGGGCTTATACAACTCTTATCACAATCCACACATACATCAATTGTGTAAAGCACATTTGTACATTCATTGCCCTCATCAAAACATTTGCTCTCCACTTAAGCCCCCGGCATCAGCTCCTCATTTTTCCTCTCCCTCCCCGCTCCCCCTCCCTCATGAACCCTTGATAATTTATAAATTATTATGTTGTCATATCTTGCCCTGTCCGACGTCTCCCTTCACCCACTTTTCTGTCATCCGTCCCTCAGAGAGGTCACATGTAGACCCTTGTAATCGGTTCTCCCTTTCCTACCCACTCTCCCTCTATCCTCCCAGTATCACCACTCACACCACTGGTCCTGAAGGGATCATCCACCCTGGATTCCCTGCATTTCCAGTTCCTATCTGTACCAGTGTACATCCTCTGATCTAGCCAGACTTGCAAGGTAGAATTCGGATCATGATACTGGGTAGTGGGGGGGGCGGCATTTAGGAACTAGAGGAAAGTTGTATTTTTCATCGTTGCTATATCACACCCTGTCTGGCTCGTCCCCTCTGCAAGGGGATCTCCAGTGGCCTACAAATTCTTTACAGGAGTAGAAAGCTCGCCTTTTTCCCGAGGAGTGGCTGGTGGTTTTGAACTGTTGATTTTGCAGCTAGCAGCCCAATTAACCACTACACTACCTTAAGTGAAGATTAATAAATATTTTGTTTGTTTGAATTCTAAGATTACTCCAAACCTTTTATTGGTTATTATGTAAGACATACTTCAGGTATGGGGAGAAAATGTTAAATGGCATACCCTATATTCAATTAACCCAAGAATCCTCTTTTTTCTGAATACTTCTTGCCAAAGCCATTGATTTTGAGAAAATAAGAGTATTGGATAGAGTATTGGACCTGGAGCTGGGGGATATGAAGGTGGTCCCAGCTTTATAGGAGCTTGCCTGGCAATAATAGACAGGAATCTTGAAATCGTCATTGGACTACTCAAAACCTTCATTTCTTCACCTGTAAATTCAGGAATTAGAAGTCCCTGGGTGGTACAAACCCTTATACCCTTGGCTACTCACTGGCAGGTAGGTGGTTCAAATCTGGTAGTCAGCTTCTGAGAGGTCATAGTCAGTCATCCTCTGAGAGGTCATAGTCAGTCAGCTTCTGAGAGATCATAGTCAGTCATC